TTGGGTTTCCAAGGCAGTATCACTACGGAAGTAGGATTGCCCAACCTTCCTTCCGAGGAGTGGCTGGTGGGTTTGAACCGCCATCCTTCTGGTTATTGTTGAGGACCCCAAAGAGATTTTGTTTATGTGGGTTATATCTATTGATATTTACTGTATTAGAAATGTAAACAGAAATCTAAAAATAACAATATTATACTCACTACATATTAATATAAAAAACTTATGAAAAATAAATATAGTTTCAAAAACAAAAAATATTTGGTGAGAAGAGTGCCACTGTTTTATGCTTTTAAAAATCTTTTAAATGTATGGCATAATGATGGCAGGAAAAAAAAAAACTTCTGCATTCAATCAGTTGTAATAGCCTCTGGATAATCCCATATACATTTGTAAGAGAATGAGATTTTTAAAGGACAAATAACATCTTAGTATTATTAGGAAAATAGTTTTTACCTCGCAGACCCCCATGAAAAGATCTCAAGGATCCCCAGGTGCAAAAAACAGCATGGAAGCAGCATCTGCCCTCTAATTTCACAAGGGGGAAGAAGGATCAAAGTCAACAGCCCAAGGCTGATTCCTATGAAGAGGAATCTATCACCCTCCAACTTTCTTGCCAATTCTGATACCAACCATCCCTCCCATGGCACAATCTCTACTTACCTGCTGGGTTCAGTAATCTGTTGCAGTGGCCACACGGAACTCAGACAATACTCACGATTATGGGGTATACTAAGGAAGTGACAGGTTACAATTCAAGATGAAGAATGACTCAGGACACAGTTCTTCGATCAGGACAGCCTCTTCTCAGTTGTACAACAGGCACACACTTCTCTGGCATGACCTCTCAGCCCTGTGGCCCCTTAGCATCTGTCCTGCTTGGGCAAGTGTTACAGAGCTCTTTTAGCTCTGCGGATAGCTACTCAGAGAAGTACCCCACTCAGCCAGCACGCCTCTTGCCCACAAGCACTCAGCTTTTAAGTCCATGAAATGGGTTGCCCACTGCGCTATCTGCTGTCAGGTTTGCTTCCAGGTCTGCTGCTGGGTCTGTTGGCAAGTCTGCTGTCATCATTTCTCTGCTGCTGCTTCTTGCCATCTCTAGTGTCACAGCTCTCTGTCTTGGATCAAGGAGATTCAGCACAGGGATTGTGGGTGCAAAGGATATGCTCCACTCTTGGCTCTTCTTTCTTG